TTGAATTTAATATCATTTGGTGCTGAAAACCCCAAAACCCCAAAACCCCAAAACCCCATTGTGCAGATAATTCGTAAAATTGATCATTGAATACTTATTTTGAAGTGCATTAATGTTATTTATAATGAATTAGAGGTTGGCTTAAAACTAATCTTTAGAACCATTCACTCTTGTATTTGCTCTTTGAGAGCTTTTTCCATTTCCATTATTTTAGGCAACAGTTATTTCATATCTTCTCTTTATTTGCATACTCTTGAATTGAGTCTTTTGTAAATTTTTAAACCTTCTTTTTTATACTCATTTGTAGCATCTTCCATCATTGACCTGTCATAAATCTTCTTCATAAACTGGCTAATAATGTTTTGATGCAAGCCATTCAATTCTGAGATATTGTTCTTTAAGAAATTGTTAAGCTCTGTTAGGAATGGTTTGTTTTTATAGAGTTAATCTAGTTGCTTTGGTAAACCATTAGCAATTTGCTTGAAATAAGTTAGAATATGCTCAAATTCACCTCCTTTACCTTTTGAGCCTTATTTCTATGGTTTTGGTTAAGCTGCAGCTTTTTACTGCACTTGCTAAATTATCTATTATGTTGTGAGACCCGTCTGCTTTACTTTTACTTAAGAATTCTAGGTCTTCTTATTGGTATTAGAATTCATGTTCATGGTGCTTATAAAAGAAGAGTCTTTTGAAACTAGCTTATTAGATGATCTTCCTTACAAGGGTGTGATCTCATCTTCATTAAACATTAAGATAGCTTATCCATTTGCAGTCATTACATTACTTATTTAACCCTTCATCTAATTTGCATTTGTGAGATTTATATTTGACTCTTGGATGAACTAGTTTTACATTATTGGAGATATTTGCTACTTAGCATAAGACTATTATATGATGTTAAATAATGAATGAAACTTACATTTTACATTAAGACACTTTGATGCTTTGCTTTTTACATCAGCTACCGATATTGACTTTAGGATTATTTGGTATTTTCATCTAGCTCATCAGGCAAACCATATTCACCATCAGAGTTTTTATTTTCTTCCTGAATTCCTACATCTACTTCATTTTCATCGTCATCGTCTGAATTTGGTAATAGCTTACTGCTAAATCTAGTGTCTATCTACTTTTATAAACCTTCAACTTAGAATTATTGTGGAGTAAAGTATGCATTAAGATTGTAATGAGGGTGGTAACTTGCTGATTTTTAAAGACCCATTTCATACATAAATGGCAATTATCCTGGATGAATTGGGTAATAAGCATTATGATACGATTGAGGAGGTGGCATATGTAGATCTGGCTATCCAGGATAATAGACAGGACTTCCTAGTGGTCTACTTTATTTAAAAGATCTATTCATCTATAGAGATTTATTTTAATTTGCCTCCATCATTTGATCCAGTTTGCTAATATAGTATTCCATCATTTACTTATTTTTCTCTTCTTCTTGTCTGAGTCTATTTTCAAACTCAATATTAGCAAAGAGTAATGATTATTAAGCAGATTCCACTACATGCTTTAGCTGATTTTCTAGCATAGGCTTAATCTATTTCTTCATAGTTTGCTCAAATTATTACATAATAGCAGCTTTTATCTCTGAATCGTCAATCTATTTGTCCTGTAATAGCTTATTAGATTTCTATTTTTCTGCATTTTGTTTGTTGTTATTGCTTTATTGAATAAGCCCATTTTCTATCAATTTTGCGAATATATCTTGAATTTGATTTTCTACTTAAGGCATTACTTACTCCTTGATTTGCTTATCAACACTTTTTATATTTTTGATCATTTCAGGTACCACTGTTTCCTAAAGCTACTGTTGAATTATACCAGGTAATACCGCCTTAATATTTTTAGAGATGCTCTTATCGATTTCAATTTATTAATTACTTTAATTTTACACTTGCCTTTACATTGATGAAATCTTCTAAGCAAGATCCTAATATTTTCTTGTCAATTCTTAGTAATTGTCAATCATTTATTCTTGAGGAGTTTTTTATATTTTTTTGACAGATTATGCGTTTTATTAATTATTCTAGGCTGCATTGCTTGTCTAATTATTAACAGCACTTGTTTGGTTGTTTAAGACACTTTAGTTCTAAGATACTTATTAGGTTTAATTCTATGCTATGATACTATTAGGATTAGGCTGAATAAAAGGCTTAAACTATTGAATTACTGGAATCTACATCTAGTATGACTAGTACTACTATTGATTGAGAGATTGCTAACTTTGTATCTAAGTATTATGAAAAGATTACTACTAATAATTGTTTTAAACTCCTTGATTTTATGTATTCAATTGTTAATTCGTACTTTGTGAAGGAATTTAGTTTTATTGTTGCTGCTATTATACATTTTGAGTGTTATTTCCAGCATTATTTTTGTTTTTATTTTTATTTTTCTTCTTTTTACCTCCTGTTGGTTGTGCTTATGACTACGGTGTTTCTGTAGCAGTAGCATTTTTTGTGTTTGCTTCTTGCTAGGAACTGTTGCTTTATTTAGATTCCTCAGAAACCTTAACTACTAACTCTGGATTTAATTAAGAAACTGCATCATTCTTTAGTTCCTCCTCCATCATTAAACTTGAAGATTGAAGAACAATATCATCTTTCAATACATCTTCTATGGCCTTATCAAGCTCCTACTTAACCTGCTCTTATTAAGCTTTAAAATCTTCATCTATTTCGTTATTATACTATTCATTTTAAAGGTGATCCTCAATTTAGTTAGTAAGTTCATCCTCTATAGTAGGATATTCCATTTTAAGAATCTTTTCCAAATAGCTTTATGTTTGCTAGAATTAATGATCATTCACTACAGATTAAGCAGTAAAGTTATCCCTAAACTAGGGCTAGATATCATTGACTGATATGGTCTCCTAAAGCTATATATTCTTTTGCGAAATGATAACGCCTGGATTTTAAGTTGAAAAATAATCTTTGTCAAATAATGAATCTGAAAAGGCAGCCTGATTTTTTTAAGCACCCATTAATTGATCTAATATATTATTCTTTATCAAGGATTGCTGAAAGTTCAACTCGGCCCCTCCTTCAGCATATTATTTTATGTTTTGATCATTTGGAATAAAATCTTTATAATCGAAAAGATAGCAGAGGACTTGGTTGCCAATAGCTACATAAATATAAAATTCTTCCTTAGATTATCTGGTGTTAGGTCTTCTTACAACCTTTAAAATTTTAGGTTTCCTATGGCCAGAGGAAGTGTTAATAGCCTAAATAATTGAGTAGTTAAGATTGAGTCTCATTTCCTTAATAAACCAAAATTTGTAGCCCTCAGTTAAATTGACTCTTTTCTTGGCATCATCTGAGTCTGAGTCATGGTCGTCTGCTATTTTCAGCTTAATAGTGTATAAAATCATGTTCTGTGAGGGTTTCTCTTGGTTCAAAAGGAAGATTATCCCTCTTTTTTCATTATACTCCACTAGTTTAGCGGTTTCTATAGATATTTAATTAACAAAATCTTACTTTCGGAAATCTTAAGAAAATCTTATGAGTGAAGACTTTGCTATTCTTAAGTTTAGTTCTTTGAATTAATGGTACCTTGCTTTTGAATTTTCCCAGCAGAGCTATTGTTTATTGCTTTTACGAGGCATATTTTCTCGAAGGATTAGATTGATGTAGATTTGACAGCTTTTGATCCACTGCTTGATATGTTTGAATTTTAGGATTTTATTATCTAATTTTCTACAAATAAGAAATAACCCTAGAAAAGTCTTGGCTTATCGTCAACGATTTCATCATCTTTGAATCTATTATACTCTTCCTCAATCTCATCATTGTAATCAACATCATCCTCAAAATCTTTAATGTAAAATAGTCTGGTTACTTGAGCTGTAGCATCTCTAAAAACTGCTCTGAATACTCTTTGCTTATGACTAATATCAAAGACAGCCACCTCATTCTTATCAAATAAGATACAGATATAATTCTTATTTATGTGAATATCACGGATACTTCTTTAATCCTCATTCTCAATTCTATGTATAAATTATTCCTGAGTTTATAGGTTTATTTGCAAAATCTACGCTTTGTTTTTATGGGTAAGGACCAAATATTTATTGTCATAAGCAGCCTCTATTCTATTGAATGGACCTTAGATTGCTATTTGGTCTATCAATTATGGTAAGCCGTTTAGCTTTGAATTAGTTAGTTGAGATATATCAACAACTATTACATGCTACTAGTAAAGTAGATATAGAGTAGAATTATTGACGATTGTAAAATCAATGATGACTCCAGTAAGAGTTCCAGCTTAATGGAATGAGCTTAGAATATTTTGAATCTAATCTTATTGATTTATGAGAAGTTACAAATCTGAGTCTCCTTGCATTAATGCAATTATTGCTTAATTTTAGTGCTAAAAAACCTTTGCCTTCTTTGTGAGAAGGTTAATAGACCTAAATTTAACTTAAGTTAACAAAAGATATTACAATGCTTGTTGCTCATCTATCTTTGTTGCCAGCTCTGAGATACTATGATATACAAAACATCTACTTGGAATAACCTCTCCTGGATGAGCTAGTTATTTGATACTATTCTAATTATTAAAAGGTTTCGGAATATCTATATTCTTTAATGTCTGATTATTAGTATGTACAGATGCCACCGCATTCTACTAGATTATTGGCTGATTACTATAGGAAAGAATAAGAAAGATATAATTAATATACTTAGTCATTAAATTAAACTAGGGAAACGGGCTAGGTTAATTAGAAAATAAGGAATCGAAAGGATTCTATGAGTTTTGTTGCAAAATGCCTTAGGTTTTATCATTGAAAGATGTTTGAAAACTTTCGAAAGGGTTTGGCTAGTTAAACATATTTTTGTATTTTGTTATAATTATATTAAATAATAATATGATAGCGAATGGTTACCATATAAATCAGCGGGGTTTTGGGGTTTTGGGGTTTTGGGGTTTTGGGG